CATTTCATTTGATGAATATGTGATTTCATAGAAGTTTTGATTGTTTCCTAATATAAAGTATTAATCATAATTAATGAACACTATTTATATTTCATAAATATTCAAATCAAAATAAATGAACTCCCGTCATTTCTATAAATATCTCAATTAATTGGGTTGCAAGGGTTGTACAAATACACAAGGTTGTAAAATAAATATGTTTGTTGAGCTCATATTTGTACTTCTTTGTAGGTATATGTATAAGTTACTAAAAGAGATTCACAACCAAAAAATAATGACAAAGAATCTAACAGGAGAAAGTTATATATTGAAATCGTTTTTGCAATAGTAACAAATCTACGTGTCCAGAATATGAATGATGTTGATAAATATTTGGTTGACAAATCTATTAACACAAAGACTCTTTGATTTGATGTTGAACTTTGATGGAACGATAATGCTAATAGTTATAGCATTTGATATATTTGTATTAATCGTGGCATCTAAATCAGCTTTTGGTACTAGCGGTCGTATTTTGGACTCATTTAGAAGCTTTTGAGTCCAAACGATAGAGGCCTTTATATGTAAATAAAGTTGGTTGGAAGAGAATCACAACGGGATTCAAACGAACGAATATTTGTATTATGTTCTTGAAGAAGGTAAATAAACTTTGTAAATTAATTTGATAACAATTGTTCTTTTTTCATACTTATCTATACTACCTTATAAACCAGATTTATCAAAACTCTTAAAAATAATTTTTAATGCACAAAGTACTATACATTTATGCACAAAGTCTTAAAAGTCTTAAAAACAACTCATAATGGATTAAATACTACTACTTTATGCATTTAGTTTTAAAATCTCTTAATCTACAATTAAAATAAAATCTAGTAGAAGTTACCAATGCACATTATTATCTTTTCTTTTCATGTTCTCAAAATATGTTTGACACCTTTCACGCATGCATTCACCCTCTCATACCTTTATGTCTTCTTCTCATCCCCCAAAGTGAGATTCAAACTGATATTCACTAGGAGTTACTAAAAATTTCCCCATTCATCTCTCATTCAATTGCTCTAGAGTCTCGCTCTCTTGATTATTTGCTCTTGGTGTAAATCGAACACATTTGTGGAGTCGTTTAAATATGTAAAAACCAAGTGTAACTTATATCTTCGTTAAATCTTCTCTAATAAAACCAGTGAAACTTCAAAATCGTTAAAATTCACGGCTCTCGTCGCATTGCGCGAGTACAAACTAGTATATTCTTAATACATTGTTTAATTTTCGTTTTTGAACTGTAGATAACATAAACAACCTCAAGGCGAAGGCAACATTGGAGTATGAGAGACCCAAAACGGACATACTCAATGTATTATCTATCATTCAAACTTTTGAAATTTGTTTCTAAGACTTAAAGATTTAAATATATTTTGGATGATTGTAATAAATTCATTGGATAATACTTTTAGTAACATTTATGGTACTCAACCCAACTCGCGTTATCCCGCAAGAATTGGGTTGGGTTATACTTTGGAATGAGTTTGGTTGAGTTGGGTTGGGTTACGATTTTTTATACCATCATAATTGAGTTAGGTTGTATAAATGTCATAAACCACCCAACCCAACCCAACCTACATACACCACTAATAGTGTTTTGTAGAAAACGAACAATTTAAAAAGAATTTTGACCTACGGTATAGCAGTGTCATTCACGTCAATATTAGATAATAAAAATAAACATTTTTTTTCTAATTTGACATGATAAATGTGTTTTTCAAAAATATGTTAGCAAAATAGGAATCGAATAAATATTTTTTTTGTTATGCGATCCATCCTTTTAGGAAAAAGGACAATTTGTTTACACCATGTATTTTGAAGAGGGGTTTGATGTTGAAGTTGCCAAATCATTTCAACATTCTAAATCAAGTCAAGACGGTTCTAACGTGTTCCGACCACATATATATCTTAAGACGTGTCCTTTAACTGTCTATTCAAATATTCATATCTTATCTCGTATGAATACCTTTCACCGTTTTAGAAAATTTGTGCTTACATTATGATAAATGATCGATGTCTATTCATTACCTTATCTTTAGTCTTTTAAGATTAATTCTTTCAATATATATATATATATATATATATATATATATATATAATGATCCTCATACCAATATCTTTAATGATACATTAAAAACGTGGGATTTTGAAAAAAAATCCGTATATGTTAGATTTCAGATTATACTTGAACATTCACATTCACATTCACACTTTAGTTTTAAGACCTAACACGACTTCGCTTTCTAACCCATGTTTTTCTTGCCCATCTCCTTAATTGTAGCAAGCATTTCTTCTACTTGTTCATTTTCTCACTCGATTGTCTTATCAACATTGTGGCTGACGATCGTGATCTCATAAATGGGACCATCGACGTGACTTGTTGATGTATTAAGGCGTACCCAAGGATTACAGGAACGTTTTTTTCTAACAGTTTTAGGTGGAGACAAATTAAATGGTGTTTAATATATGTTTTATAAATATGTGATTTTTAATATAATAAAGATAGTTAAAGTAAAAAACAAGGATGTGATTATTATCATACAAATACTTAAAATGAACAATACAAAAATATTTGGTAGTCAGTCGCTATTGATAATTTATATTATGCTTTTTGTAAATTTATACCAAAATATGTTATATTATTTAAAGGACTTATTTCTCAAATATGAAAACTCGAAGATACATATATACTATATTATAAAGCATTTGATAAAAATCATTTGATAAAAACTGTTAAAAACCATTTTTTATGCATAAAGTATTGTATATTGATGCATATTACTTAAAATTCAAGATTACAAGTAAATTATGCATAAATACAACTTATTAAAACTCGATGTTTGAATTCATATAACTAACCGTGGATAAAAATAATAAAATAGAGGATAAACATCTTAGTTTAAAATATAAAAAATATAAAATATTATTAGGATAATTATCGAGTTCAAACAAAATAATTAATTATTACCTTTATAAGAAAATTATATTATTAAACCTAAATTAAAATTATAAAAAAATTGAATTAGAAAATTACACAAAAAATAGAAATTTTAAATAGTTAATTTGATACAAATGTCGATATATTTTTGTTAAATTTTTATGACATCTTCAAATTTATATTTTATTAAAAAATAAAAACATTATCGCTTTTTCAAAATCACATAAGATCATACTATAACATCGATTGAGATAAAGAACAAAATGAAATATTAAAATCAAGATGTACCTCGCTGCATTGTGCGAGTACCCTTCTAATATATATACATATTGGAAATTTAATTAAGAAAAACTAAATATTGTGGGAAGGTAAGAATATAAGGCTCATATGTGATTTAAAAAACCTGTTTGAAGAAACACATGTGAACTCATATGAATAATCTAAAACGTTCATTCATATACGTATTTTCAAATAGATTTTTTTATATGATGTACGTAAACCTCTTCTTAATGTTTCTTTCTAACCATCTCATAATATTTATTCTTCCTTTTTGAACATGTCTTTATTGTAACTAACCAAAAGCTTTAAATAGTTATTTCATAACCTTTGCCCAAACCACCAAGAAAATAAGTCTACTGTACGACATGATCTCAAGAGTTGCAGCGGAAATCAAGTCTACTATTGAGATGTATTACAATACTAGAAATAAAGTCTACTACTAAGGGTGTGTTTGGTTTGCAGGAATGTTTTTGAGGGATTTGGATTCCCATGAGGGATTTGGATTGGATTGGATTGGATTTAAAATCCATCCTGTGTTTGGTTTGCAGGATTTGGATTGGATTTGAAATCTTTTCCTCTGTTTGGTTTGTAGGATTTGGATTTGGATTGAGATTTTTTTTTGTAATTATTTTAATCGCCAATTCTCTTTCATTTTCTTAAATCTATCTATTTAACCAACAAACCTAAAAATTTAACAAACCTTTTCATCCAAAATGCATATTTAATCAACAAACATTTTCATCCAAAATGCATATTTAATCAACAAACCTTTTCATCCAAAATGCATATTTAATCAACAAACATTTTCATCCAAAATGCATATTTAATCAACAAACTTTTTCATTCAAAATACATATTTAATCAACAAACATTTTCATCCAAAATACATATTTAACCACCAAACTCGGTAAACCAAAATACAAATTTAACTACCAACTTGTTCTTTCAAAAGCACACATTTACCCACCAAAATTTACCCACATTTAACTACCAACTTATTCTTTCAAAAGCACACATTTACCCCCCAAAAATTTCATCCATCTAAAACCCAATCGACATAAGCTTCCCTATCCGCTTCTTGGAATTCCAAAAATATGTTCACCTTTTCAGGATCGTCTCTTATCAATGAAATTGCTTTAAACTTATCTCGTTGGGCCAACGTCTGCATTTTTAATATCTCAGGAGTGACCATCGAACGTTTCTTATCAAGTTCGTCTTCTCGTTCTACACCCCTGCTAAGTTTATTCGCCATTTTCTCCAAAGTTTCTCCAAAGTTTCTCCAAGTTTAGTAACCGCATTACTAAATCCGTCAGCCATGGGATCTACTCGACGTTTTCTCTTCTTACGACGCGCAGTTGAAGTTTCTTCAGATTGCATATTTGCATTCCCACCTTGAACATTGCTAGTTGCCATTACGTCATCGGACTTGTCATTCATGTCTTGTGTTTGATCTTCTGTACGCGCTTCCTGTTCCGCCTCAACAAAATCTCTTGCTCTATTTCTTGTGGCACGATCTTTTCTGAATACAATACAAAGATCCTCATAAAAAGAATATGGTTTGTTCTTCCATTTTCCCGCCCCTTTATGGACCTATTTCATAATAGATATTATTAAATATACATATAACTATGATTATATATTATGCAAATATAAATAGCAAGTTCTTTTTAGCATGTACCTGAAGATACGACTCCCAAACTTGGTCTTCCGCAACGACACAATGCTTCACACTATCGTATCCGAAGCCACTAGTATATGAACCATTWATCATGTCATGCACAATAGTCCAATCTTTCTTCATTATTTTTAACTTTGATTCGATGTGTGGTTTCCCTAAAATCCAGGAGCCCGACAAAGATTCTTTTAACGATTGTTCAAGAAATGTTAAATAACCCGATTTAAAGCCATTATCGGCTTTAAATGCTCCCATATTCACCATAGTAAGTAAAGCTTCAACGAGTTTTGTTTCTTCAATATTCGTCCAAACTCTATAATTTCTATTTTGACTCGTCATACCTACAAACATAAATGAATCAAAAGTATAACGACATTTAATTATCCATGTCCAAACTCCATAATTTCCATTACAAAACAAACATTAGATTTCAACAAACATGGCAAGTATGAGTTAAACAAACATTAAGGATGAGTTAAACAAATATTTGAATTATACAAATTAATTGGTAGCATTCCAAGAAGCAAACATAGATTGTGCTAAATTGTCCCTAAATGTCGTCCAATCATTTGAAGTACCAACAACATTTATATTATCTCCGTCTTCGACTCCATGGTCTCCGGTTCCCTCATCCACTTCACCGTCATTGTCAAGTGGATTTACTGGCATTTCTTGCATTATAAAATTGTGGAGGAGACAACATGCCATGATGATCCTAAGAAACCCTCTCCATTTGTGTATCCGGCATCAACCAAGTAATAACCTAGTAATAAATTAAGTTAATAAATCATCAAAACTTAACTTGTTAATATATAGTAAACTATTGTAAACTATATCCGGTCTTGGAACTTTTAATCCATGAGGCCTAAGAAAAGCATCTCGAAGCACTCGACCATCAGCAGCCGACCCCTCCCATCCCGGTAAGACATATATAAATTGCATATCTTGTGAGCACACCCCTAGCACGTTTGTCGCAATTTCATTTTTTTCTTGTTCTATATCTAGGTTTGTCTTCTTCTGGAACTATACATTTTATGTAGGTTCCATATAAAGCTCCTAGACAATTCTAGAACCAAGAAAATGAAGATCATTATATTTTCATAATAATTAGACTTATTTAGAAATAAGTAAATTTTAAAAAAGAAGTAGAAACACCTTAAACCATTTCCATCTTTGATCGGTAGAGTTATCGGGAACAGGTTCATGTTTCTTAAGCAATCGTGGATGTAACCTTATTACGGCATCGCACACTCGAGCAACAACTCTACTAATTGTTTCTCCCGAACGATGAAAACGACATATCATAACCCSATTCTTAACATTGTGGGCAATAATATGAAGAAACATGGCAACTTGTTCTTCAATATTCATAAACCTAGTTGTTCTTAACCCTCCGTATGTTCCAACCATGGCACACAACTTTTTGAAACACGCTCGAGTCATCCTAATTTGCGAGATGGACATAGTGTCACTCTCATAAATATACCTATGCATTATTGAGGATCGGTCCACATTTGAAGAATGGTATCCAATTTGTTGTTCATCCTTTTGTCTTTTAACCATAGTCATCCAAAGGGAGACAACATAGAATAGAATAACATTGACAACTATCTTAAACCATTCCAATGACTCTTGTCTCCTTTGCCTATGTAAACGTCTTCTTAAACTAAGACGATCCATTTCCTGTCCAATTTCCCAAATTGTTAAACATATACTCTCATTGATGCTAAATTGTTAAACATATACTCTCTTGAGTATCTTATTATGTWKTGTGCAAACTTTARCATAAACGGCAATTGTGACTTGTGACTGCAATTTAAAGTAACTATTGGATGGTATAGCTGAAAATAATGATGATATGGAGACTTGAAGAAGGAACAAGAAAGAAAGTAAAGATATATTAACATAAACTTTAACAGAAGCCAATATAAATTTAATGGTCTTCCTACTTCAACCATAAAATTCTTCCTATTTTTTAATCTTACGTTACCTATTTTCCCAATGCCATCATCATAAACTATTGAAAATGTTTGATCCATGAAATTCCTCCTATTTTGTTGCCATTATTAGACCATGCATTCCAACTTGACTAAGAATTGATGAGGCACAATGTGAAAACAATTAAGCAGTAAGCATTTGGATCAAACAACCATCCACATGATGCAAGGGTCTCTTGTATATCAAATTTAGATGTTGTGAGCATGAAAAACATATAAAAACACCCCTTCATCTGGTGCAAACAGGGRAAAAAGAAATGCAAGTACATACAAATATATAAAAGTTTAAAACTGCAGAATCCACCAATTTCCATTGACCATCATCAGCACAACAACAACTACCCTTTTGTTTTGATCATTAACAGCAGCTTTGGTTGAAATGCATGTTATCCCACTGATGTATAGCAATTAAAAATCGGAACAAAATATGAAATACAAATCGGAACATTAAACGAAACAGCATATGAACTAAATCGGAACAGAATATGAAGTACCCTTATGTATTTGAAGTACAAATCGAAACAGAATATGCAGAAATCGAAGTACAAATCGGTGCATTAATCGTATTGTGAAGTCGTAACATAAATCGAAGTAAGTAGAAATTACCTGTCTTCGGCGATGGAGACGACCACGGTGGGAGAAAGCGACAGTGGGAGAAAGCCGGAGACGACCACCATGGGAGAAAGCTACGGAGCCGGCGATGTTTGAGGTTGGAGCAGACAGCGATGTTGGAGGCTGGAGGAGATGGTCAGGGATGAAAATGGAGGATGCGATGGAGACGAGACCTAGGGCAAGATTTGGAGGATGCGATGGAGACGAGACATAGGGCAAGATTTGGAGGATGCGATGGAGACGAGACCTGGAATCCCACGGGAATGGATTTTACAAAACCCGTGTCCTTTCAAAGGATTCTAAAATCCACCGGTCACGGGATTGTTAATGAATCCCAGGATTTTAAATTTTATCAATCCTACAAACCAAACACAAGATTGGAATGGATTTTAAATCCAAATCCCTCCAATTCCATTCCATTCCTGCAAACCAAACTCACCCTAAGATTTTTTTTCTCTTGCCTTTACTAGAACTCTCCATAGGATCCTTCCCTAAAAAGATTTTCGGTTTTATAAAAACGAGGGTTAGATCAAAGGTCTAGTGAATTCCCTCTACTAGGGGTGCTCAAAAACCCGACCAACCCGATCAACCCAACTCAACGCGAAATAACCCAACCCGAAACAACCCGATGTCTAATCGAGTTGTAAAATTGTCAAACCGTAGGTATTGGGTTACTATTATTTGAACTCAACCCAACCCGATATCCTTTTATTTCTTGGATTTAATATGATTATTGAATTTTTATTAATATATACATTAGACAATTACACTATCATGTATGCTTTTCATATACACATATTTTCAATCTATTCACATCTCTATATAACTCATTCGTATATATGTTCAGTAACTATGAACATATATATGTAAATTGAGAACATTAACTGAATGTGATATATGTAAGAAATATAGATAAGTTGTATCAAATGGTTGATGATGAAAAATAAATTATGAGTAGAGAAATAACATATTCAAGGTTAGAAGAATATTTTAATGAACCAAAGTATCAACCCGATCAACCCGTACGGGTTGGGTTGTACTTTGGTTTGGGTTGGGTTAAGATTTTTCAAACCGCAAGCATTGAGTTGGGTTGTTCAAATGTTTTCAACCCGATCAACTCAACCCATGAGCACCTCTACCCTCTACCAACAAAATCCACACCATAAACAATTTTATAAATCATAAATATTAGCAACATGAAATTATAAAACACCCAAACCTGTCGCAACAATTGAACACATAAAAGTCACGCACACGTGTGATTAATCAATCGGACTCACACTTGCCCTTATAATAAGCAACATAAATCGAATGCATGTGCTATGAACGGGTACACACCTTCCTAAGTTAAGCATTCCCAAGCACACACTTGCAAAAGGAAACATGCTTAAATACTAAGTTCAATAATAACATTTCCAACACGTAAGAAAGTATTAAAAACTTTTCTCATGAAAACTGGATATTATTAGTAAGAGTCGTCGCCCTCACTTACCGGGTAAGACTCTTGGTCCTTGTCTCGCTCTTATCGGGTAAAATTCTTGGTCTCTACCATATTTATCTTGTAAGGTAATGTGACTTGGTGTTCACTTACCCAAGTAAGAGTTTGGTAAACGGCCCCCTTATTAAAAAATGTGACTTGGTGTTCACTTACCCAAGTAAGAGTTTGGTAAACGGCCCCTTATTAAAAAAATGCAACCACATCGAGTCAACTAGGCATGGCAACAGTGCGTGGATGGGGCGGGTTTTGTAATCTCTGGCCCCGGTTTGTAGTAACATCCCCCGACCCCGGTCCCCGGGGGGTATGGGGATTAACATCCCGTCTCAAGTCAAACTTCTATCAATCCCCGGTCAAACCCCTTAAATAATATCTGTTAGTTTGATTCTACCGGGGATCTCCGGCCCTGCCCCGGCCCCGGTTTGAGTAACATTATCCGGCCCCTGTTTGAGTCTACCGGTGATCCCCAGAACCCGTTTTAGTGGGGAATCCCCGTCCCTGTTCGAATCGGGTGAACCGGGTTCTCCAACGGATTGGAGCAAATCACCATTCCTAGACTCAACTCATTAAAAAATGCAATCACAAAGTCATATTCTATTATTTTTTCAAAATAAAGACCAGATCAATTAAAAACAACCAAGTAAACAAGGAAAAATGTATCTATCTCTAACTTTTTCTTTTGTACTAGAAGGGTGTATACCTACCCCTTATTATATTATATGGATGGATTTGTTAAAGGCACTTTTATATATTATACTCCTTTTCACATGTATCGACATTTTTTTTTTACATTTTAATGTATGTTTTAACTTAATTTTGACTTATATAAAGGGGCATCGTGTGAGAAGATAAGTTATGATAAGAAACGTAAAAAGAGATTTAAATCTTTGATCGATTTTAATCTCATGTCCACACATTAATTGTGCTTTAAAATGAAATTGATCTAGTACATCCCGGTACATTTCATTAGTTTTGACATTTAATTATGATTATACCAATAATAAAGATGTTCTTTACAACTCCAACCATAACTCTTTTTCTCTCCGAAATCCAACGTATGTATTACAATGCATTGCATGTAACATCATCCTATGATAAAGGACAAACGACATCGTAATATTGCTAGGGTGTGCGCACACCACAAAGCCAAATTGCTTACGGCGCCGCTGTTTCTCACTTATTTTTCCTCGTCCACTCACTCCATCACACACGTGCGTTAATACACAATTTTATAGTGTTATGTTTTGTTCACCTTCTTTTATCAGTATTTTCCATAATATAAAAGAAAAATAATTTATTAATTAAAGGTTCTAAAATTTTCCTATCGACAGAACCAATTTAAAGTGATGATCATAAATAGATATAAAGTAACTTATCGAGGAAATGTTGGAAATTTTCTAAAGCATATAATAATTTTTTTTATTATCCTAGATATTCAATCCGCTATGCAAGCCGACTAATCCCAAGGCAGCCACCTGCTTTGCAGATAGCCCGGAATCACAACATTTGAACATTCATGGCTACAAGAGAATTTTTATTCTTCATTGGATTTGAACATGAGACCT